ACCATGTATTACTGCACGATTACACGCACCGACGAATCCTCCAAAAGAGAAAACAACTAATCAATGAGCTTTGTCGGTGTTCGTCGGTTTTCTTTAAGAATCCGACTATTTTGCAAAAAATGCAACCATCGACCCGCGCGTAACATGTGTGCGCATAACATATCATACTGTTTAGCTCCATCAAATCAATACAAAGAATAAAGTATTTTAGATTTAAGCAGTTGTGGCCAATTACCATCGCACGAATGAAAATGAGTCACTATATGAGAATAAGTAAAAAAAACAGAGAAGGGAAATCGCGCCGTGCACGAAAGCGGCAGCGACAGAACGAGTGGGAGATTTCTTATTGTTGAAGCACAGGCATTCAATCCCTCCGATAGCGGGTCAACTTGAAAAACCGTGTCAGTCTGGCAGTTTCAAATTTCTGGTTCCATCAAGAATACCGAAAGTGTTTTCATCAACAAAAAAAATCATGAAGATGCTTCACGCTTTAGCCAAAATTGTCCTCTTATTCCTTGAGTATGATAGGTATGCTGGGTTCATTTGGACCAGAAGCCCCGGTTGACCTAAATTTTCGGCAGCTGTTGGAAAACCGCGGTCTGTTTAAAAATTGACGGCGTTTTTGATTCATTTGAAACAGAAAGAACTGTGCTTTGACAGATTGGGATGAGGGCAGTTTTTCGAAATCGGTGGGTTTCATTTTGTGGCTATTTGTGCAAACCAAAAACAAATTTTTATAGATTTTTATCGGCTGAAATAACGGAAGTTCCCCAGAATGGTTTCTACGGTATTCTAATAGTTAATTTCTGATTCGTTCAAATGAATGTACTTTTTCATGTCTCTAGCCCATCTGTTCTACACGAAGAATAATTTATGTCTATCACTATAAGTGCAGACAATTTCCAGGCAAATAACAACAATCAGAAAAAAATTAAGACAATCAATAAAGTATTCACAGAGTGAAACTGCTTTCTGGCATGGAAATATGGGAAAAATTTGTGGCAGCTTCTGCGAGGAATCATTTCGTTAATTCATTCTATGGGGTGGTTCTGTTGACATAATCTACCGATTCGTCTTACTGAATATAGGATTCAGCCAATAATCACAGGTGTTCAGCGACCCACATAAAAGTGAAAGATTGTGACTTGTTTTTGAAAAACAGAGTCTATAGTTATGTATTCACTAGGGTAGGAAAAATGACGAAATTCGCAAAAAAAACAATTGTGCTAAATAAAATCACATCAATTCTGTTAAAATCATCAACAACAAACAGACACAAACAGTCATCTGCTTATGCAATCGCACATGTGGACAAACGATTGGAATATGTGTCAAATTCAGCAATCAATTTACGTGGTGCAAGATCAATAATTTAAGTGACATTGGACGAAAATTTAAAAAAGAAACACTACGTGGCTTCCAGTCGATGACATGATAACTTATTGTTCCGTTGAGTATTCATTGATCAGGACAATCGGTTTGCTCCGGTCGTTTTTAGCATAACTGACAACAACACTGTCTCTCTAATTACGGACGATCGTGCAGTAGTCAGTCCAATAAGAATGAACACCACACAGATGTCAAATTTCACTGGGGATTTCTACATAGAACTGCCACTATTGACACATAATGACTTACTGTTTTGATGGTTACTGCCTGGTGGACGTTTTCTCAATTGTGTGTGTACGAGAGAGAGAGAGAATATAACTCATTACAATCCAGAAATTTTGAGTTTTTTCGCGCACTATCAGTTTGTCTATTGTTTTCTTGCTGTGGTAAAAGAGTCCTTCTTCTATTTTCCAACTACAATTGTTTCTCAGTATTTAGACAAAATATACAGTTTACACGAGAATTTCAAATCCTGCGCTCATGTGGGAGTGACCTTGAAATCAATCAGGCTGTACACGTTGATGAGTAGTATATCAACACAAAAACGGTAGAACTAGATATTCAAATAAAACAGCACAACCGGGCATAGCCGATAGATCACGTGTTTGTTTGTGGACTACATCGATTCTCTCAATTACACCGTGCATTTCATCGACCACAGAATTCCATATATGTGGTGGCTCACAAGGAATACTGGACAATGATCCGTCGTTGTTTGCTAAAAACTTGACTATTGTCTATTAGATTTTTCTCCCTACCCGGATCTTATTTCATGATAGTCAAGAGACATAATATTCTCATCTAAGCGAAGTACGATCAGGTAACTTTCGCTGGCTAAAATACACGAAACTGGCAAAAGATCATCTCACAGAATGGGAAAGTAGTGATATTATATTCATCAATAGGAGCTTGTGCAGATTCTGCAGTAAATTTATCGCCAATTTTTGCTGCCTTGGTATCATTGAACCATTTCCCAATGCTAAGGTTTTCGCGGTTAAAGCGAATTGAGTTTCAATTTTATGAAAACCGATTTTACGATCTAAGTTTAAAACAGTTCGCACTATCGTGTGAACACTTTGGAAAGTTGCTCAGATAGGGTAGTCGGTTAGTGAAGTTGATAAATTGCCTGGACCATTCTGGGAGCTAGCGCGGAACCGATGACAGGTGATATTGCTTTTTGCCTTGGAGCAAGATGGCGTTTGGCATTTCCGGATGATTAGAAAATATCCGTGCTTTGCTAGATGTGCGGTTCACAGCCTGGCTTGCAGACAGCAGAACAATTTGCACACCAGTTGCGAAACAAGAACGCAAAGTAATCAATCGAGGAATCGGGTTTACAGAATCCAAATGCAGACGAAATTTTCGAGTAACCGATAAGTTTGGGAATCCAAGATCAACAGATCAACTAACATGACGGGAGTTCAAATAGAAAACAATCATCATAACCGCTCATTGGGTTTCGTTCACTTTTTACGGTTCGCATTCATTTGCGTGGATAGAATACTAACCCAGTGTTTTTGTGCACCACTGTCCGTGGCGTGGTTCACGTGTTCGGGGACAAATAGCCTTGTCACACGACGAACCACGATGCGCGAGCACGACAGGATAATACCGGGGACGTTTGACATAACACCTGTTGCGCTGGCACTGGAAAATCGGGTGCTAAAACGGGTCTGGGCGACAACTAGGCTGTCTGTCAAAAATTGAGATATGAGGTGGGTGGGGGTGGAAGGGCGGGGAATTTGACATTTACATTGAAAATGGAAATTTTACGCTGATGATGAAGGAAATCGAAATTGGTATTTAAGTAGTATGTAAAATCAACAGGTTCCTGGCCCTTACAGAAATAAAATGAACATGGAATTAGGAAAAGAGCTTAATTTTCACAGAACTAAATAATTTTACCTATGATTTCTTTCATAATTATTTTTCAAGGATATGTTTCCCAGCACTCTATACCCCATAAATTCAAGCTTGAGATACTAAAGCTTGTGGGAATGACACAAGTTTGCAACTGGAGCTTTATTTGGAATGGACCCCGTTGGAAATGGTTCTCAATACTATAGCTATATTAAATTGAATTATTAATGAACGTATGTTTTCTTCACCTTTACCAATCCACACCCCTACCCCGTCGTTGTCACTCTATCCCCATAGATCCACCATCCAACGTCTCCATTAGTATTGATGGCGGGACTGTTCGCGAAGAAATCTCGGCTGGCAGACGTGAATTTGTCGTGTACGGTAGGGCGGGTGAAATGAAGACTATCATATGTCGTACCGGTCCGTATTATCGAGATGCTCAGATCAAATGGGTTGCCCAGGGCCCCGATCCCGGACCATTGAAGGCGCCACGGGAATTGTTTGGACACACCCGAACTATACAAACTCCGGATGGCTATAGTCGGATTCAGGAATCCCGTGTGAATGTGACTATCACGGAGGCGGACGATCGAGGCTACATTGATTGTCGTGTCTGGGGTGAAGGTGACTCGAGAGTGGATGCCCGGGTTCGGCTGGATATCATTTGTGAGTTGAATATCCTATCTATCTATCTATCTATCTATCTATCTACAGTGTTCGGTAGTTCCTTCATGCATTTTCGATATTATACTGTATGTTAGAAAGTTTTCGTTACACTACCTTGATTCATCGGAACTAAGTGTGAGTGTCTGGCCCCTTTTTGTCACTATATATCTAAGTAACTGTCCAGCCCAGGTAAGGTACACAAACACGTAATCTGTGGTGACCAAAAAAAATATTTTGTTTTTTGTTCGAATCTCCTGACATCTCCTTACCCTATGTTGTGTCCCAGATTTCAGTAGGTGGATAAGCACACAGTGAACTAACCAATACGTTTATTGAGGACGGTATTACTGTAACCGTTCCACAGACCGATGAGCAAGCTGAAACGGGCAACACGTAGGTAGACAGACAGACAGGCAAGCCAACACTGGTTCACATGTTACGCAACATCCGTATGCCCTCAAGCCAGTATTCAAACAGTCGGCAAATCAATCAATCAATCAATCCGGCCACGTGGAAGCGCGACAAACGTACCAGTCATTTGTGGGCCGCAACATCGCATGTCATACCCAGCTTTCTATCGGAATGAGGAGAAAAAACACAAGCAGATGAACTACCTTAAACCGACCAAAAAGTTCTCACTTAGAATTGAATCGGTTCGAATTAATCGGTTCCAATTGGGGACTTGCATTCGCAGACTTGCCCGGAAAACTGCACGATTCAAATTGCTGTTCTTATACTAACAGGTGAACACACTGAATGTTATTTGGGACCAAATCTACATAAACATAGATCAGTAATTCCATTCAGTCCCCGGCGGATAGATGTTTGACACAGTTGTTACAAAAACGTCTTCACTAGATGTATACCAATGATGAATTCTAGTCGTGGTTATTTCCTGTTAAAATCTTTTTGTTTAATCCCCAATCGTGAACGTATGCTTCCAGAGCACGAGGTTGCGTTCAGTGAGCCGGTAACCATGTGGTCAAAATGAATATTTCGACTCCGGTGTTAGTGGGATTCAAATGTGAGGCTCCTGAGGCCAGTCGACAAGACGGTGGTGGCCCGGTGGTAACGTTACCAACTGATCGCCCTGGGGGATGTGTGTTCGAATCCCACCACCGCAGCTTGACTTTCCCCATTTCGGTGTGTTGAATGCCAGCCTTTTGATTGGCCGCTTCCCCCTTCTTGAAAAGTGTCTTTGTATACTTAATAAAAAGGAAGTAAAATGAAAAAAATAAAGGATCAACCGCGCTTTATCTTCACAGTTCGAATACTTGATGGACTGTAAGCGTCAATGATTGTAGGTGAAAATGTGGACAGTGGTCAGCGGAAACCAATCCTTGTACAACAGTATACAAATCCAAATATTAAAAGAAATAAAGCTGTAAAATACCCACACCCTAGGCGGTAGTTGCAAGCATTTCAAATGAAATCACTGCCCCAAATATAAGTCTTGGATAATCAATGTATGCATTATGTGAACGAGCTTGTCAGCGCTGATCCAATTTCACGAACTGAAACGGACAAATTCGAAATTGAATCAAACGATCGTACAATTTATCCAATTCCCAGTGGTGATACACAATGACAGACAGAGCGACTCGCGTACAAAGTGCCACTTGACTTTTATTTCAAGTGGTCTGTTCAAATTTGTTTTTGGCGTGAAATCCATTTTTTCTGACTACACTAATACAATTCGATCGATAATGTAATACACAGGGACAGAGNGAGAGAGAGAGAGAGAGAGAGAGAGAGAGAGAGAGAGAGAGAGAGAGAGCGGAGACACACGAAACCGGGAGGGGGGACTACAATGTGATGGGTAAGCGGGTTTCAGTTTGCGTCCTGTTATTATCATCACAGTAATCAATTTTTGTGGTGAAACGTCGTTTTTTTGTGCAGGAATCCTAAGTAGACACGTCTGTGGATCTGACAATTTCAACACGAGTACGACAGTTTGCACCGGGGTGGGGGAGGGGAAAATCAACGACAAAATTCTAATCCAATCACGTAATCCACAAATTTACTCAAATCCGGGTTCCTTTGTGCCT